ACACAATCCCCCTTCCCAAAAACCACATGTTGATGGGTCTCCCCCGGCTGCTGCCCCTGGTCGGGGCCTTTTAAAAAAAAAAAAAAAAAAAAAAAAAGCATATTAATATGTAAACAAATATAATAGGCATTTAACTTTTAATCATCACATTATTTATATCAAGTGTAAACCTCTGTGAGGTCAAACATTTATTGCATACACTCTCCGGCTACTTCATTTAGTCCACTTTGATACTATCGGGTTGTACACTCTTTGCCATGAGAACTGATCTACTTCCCCATTGCACAATGAGACTGAATACGACGAGAAACAAACAATAGCGGCTCTCCTGGATGCATTCATCAAAGTCAGCTGGTTCTGATTTAGGTCAGACTACACACAGAGTTAGAGACTTCTCAGAGTTAGAGTCTCAGCATCCCTTCTTATCCTCTGGTGTCATTAAAACATCTGGTTGTGATTACAGTCATTTAAGTAAATCTTCAGGATAACAAAGGACAGCAATCAAATGTAGCAAGATTTTATAGCAGAATATTAAAATCGGTTCACATAAATCGACAAAGCCTGTGAAAATAAGTCCAGTGTCTGGAAGAGTCTGTTCTCATGCAAAGGGAGTTCCCTGAGCCTACGATGGCTACCCAGTGAGAAACATCAGGAGTTTCTCCACCAGGTCAAGCGGTTACAATCATACACAGTTAAATTACATGTTGCTGATATGCAGCTTGGTACGGTCATATTTTCTAGATATATGACTGATATTACAGAAAAACTAAAAACACCATTAGTAAGTACCAGTAATAAGTGGTCAAGCTTTAACGTTGAAATGTATTGAACCTTCTGGTTGGCTTTAAAAGGCAAGCTGTTAGTCTCAAAGCACTCACTTATTTGCTATGTAGATTTTTCAGTAGGAAGACAGGTAGTCTATATTACCCACCAAACCATGTTGGTCCAGCTCAACATACCAGATACATTCCTATTTGTTAATAACATTTAAACTGTAAAGTTTAGTCAGAAATACTTCCAGGAAAAATAAAACAAAGTAAAGAAAGTTGAAAAAAATAAATAAATCCCTCACCGACATGAATAGTTCCAGAGAGAGTATAAATGAAGGTGGTCCAACCTGTCAAACAAAGAAATGTTATTAGTTTACAGAGGAAACTGCAGCTTCCATTACCTGCAATAAATAGTTTATTGAGCCAAACTCAAAGGTAACACTAACTTGGTCTAGATCGACTGAAATTAGAATACAACAGGTCTGTATTGTCCCACAATGGAGAAATTCAGATGTAACAGCAGCATCATATATAAAAGTTCACACGAAAAGATTAGCATTAAGAACAACAGTAGTAATAATAAAATACTGTACAAAACTAGAACAGAAAATACTGTGCAGTTATTAGAAATAGGAATATTGGACTCGCGATTCAAGGGATATGTGACAACAGTCCGATTATTTTTCCAAAAATGTCCATAATGTGCATCATGTGTACTGAGCATGAAAAAGACATATTATTTACAATACAGTATTTGAGTGTAAAAAATATATATATATATATATATACAGAAGATGCTTAGTGTGCGATTAACATTTTTACAAACTTACTAAAAGGGGCACTGGGTTTCTACTGTCGAAATCTAATATATTCAAGATTAAATCAATGTACTTTCCCATCACAAGCATCAGTGCAGCTTTATATAAACTAGTTCATTTCACAGCATGGATACTTCCAAGCCTGAACATTTATAATAAGTCTTAAGGGAACAACTAGATGTTTGTGAGTAGGTCTGCTCTGATTCTTTTGTCATTTCCAATCCATCTCTGGGTTGTACAACAATACAAGTATTCTCTTACCAGATGGGACTGGCTGCACATGCATGGCCCCGGCCTGCAGCTTGAAGTCCAAATACAAGGTTGGTGTCCTTGTGTAAACCTTAGACTGTATACAAGAAAAAAAAGCACATGGTAAAAAATGCACAGATATACATGTTTTATTTCGTACTAATAAGTTTACATTACAACGGCCCATAGTAACATCATGCTATGGCCAAGATATCATCACATATCTTGTTTGAAGTTGTTTTTCATAGGAACCAAGTTTTAATCTGTGATCAACACCAAATAAACGCAACATTTTCATTCCCCAGGATGAAAATGTTGGGGTTGTGAGCTCACACTCTGTAAAGTTTCTTCTCAAAACATATTCAAATTTAACACGCCTTCATCTCAACTAAACAAAGTGACTGAGCTTTACTACTGTCGTTATAATAAATAAAAAGAGTATAGGGAAATCAAATCAAATCAACGTTTTCCATTAGTGTTAAATCTGTGTTCAGTATTTTATGGCTATTTTGCATCAACTATGTATTTTTGGGATGTGTGCCAGTCACACATGTCCCAAAAGTGCACATGTCAAATCACATGGACTAAACAAGTTGAGCTGGATTCTATATTTAGCCAAGAATATAAAAGGCCATTTCTTCATCCAAGAGCTCTGTCCTACATCTTCTGATTAAAAGTATGTAATTATTTCAAGCCAATATGTTTTTATTATTTTAGGAAAGTTAAGATATACTGTTATTTAATTGAAACTAATGTTAACTCTTGGTTTTGAAACACAGGAACTTGCTGTATCTTTTATGCTTTTGTTTATATTAAGCTCAGATAAAGGCACTTGAACTTTTCCAATCCACTGATCCTCTTTATTTACCAAAGCTGCTATGTTAACATTTCCTTATGGACCATAACTTTTTAGCTTAATCTGACGACTAACAGTTATGTGAAAATGTGATCATGTCTTCAAATCAAGTAATTCGCCATATGGAAACATAATTTCAACCATAACTTGTTCATCTTCACTTTCAGCCTCACAGTCGGCCACAGTTTGTCATCATTTCACACTTTCTCAATCAGACGCCACCTCAGAATCCACCGCTGTTCACATATGTAGGAAAACAACTAGGAGACGCCACAAAACTGCAAGTCATCATTCAGATGCCAAAAGAATCTGTTCCTCATTTCTAGCTTCCTTTTTCCAAACAATCCTTCCAACCACCGCGGTCAAACATTGTGGTAAACACACTGTCCTGTTCAGCAACACACAGACAAAAAGGCATATACTTTTAGATATTTGCTTATCAGATTAAAAGAGAAATCGCTTCACTTAAAAATTTCTGCTCCTGCTTTAGGTTCGATGGCTGAAATATGAAGATTCTCTCACAAATGAACACACACCTTCGCTCCCAATGCTTCTCCGGATATCACGGCGACTGTGATCCCACCCTGGCTGCGTTTGGGGATCTCCGAGCTTTTAAGCTCCTGGTATGCTGGTTCAATCATCTTTTCTTGTTTTCGGAGGTTCACCCACAGCTGCAGTCCCACCACTGGCTCCTCGGACACAGGCATCTCAGCATGGACCACCCCCCGTCCTGCTGTCATCCACTGGCAGACAATGACACAATTTCTCTCAATTTCTCTCAAAATGTAAACATGTAACCCTGATGTTGAGGATGTTTGAAAATGTTGAAGCTATAATGTTAAGCTTAGTTTGAAACTGTTTGTGTTGCATGAATTAAATGCGTCCATCTGCACCACTAGCACTTACTGAGACATTAATGAAATTGAAAAAGCAAACATTGAAAATGTTTTTTCTGACATTTACTTAAGAAGCATTTTAGTGAAGCCACCAATTGTAGAACCAGTAATGTGTTAAATTTAATCTGAACTGAAACAAATACTCAATGAAGGTGAGTTTATACAACTCTAACAGTCGTATTAGTATAATCTCGTATACCACTAGTCTTATAAAAATTGTAGGAACTTCAGCATAAAGGTAAATTTATGTTGTGCAGCCAAAAGGTGTAGACAAACAAACTGCTTACAAAGACCTAAAGTTCTTAAATAATTTATTCCAAAGAATTGCTAATGATTTTATGACCTTTCAGGAACTTTCCTTATAGGCAGTTACAGTCCTATGCAGAATTTAGTCCTTCTATTATGTAATTCACTAGTTGCCTCATGTCAGATTCAGAAATGAATCCACCATGAGAAAACATTTACTCCTCCTAGGTTTAAAAAAACAATAAATAAAGATTGTCTGAAAAGATTAACAAAAAGGTTTGGGATTTCTGTGAAACATTTAGTATTCACCAGCTCCTCCTTTCTTTTACATCAGCTAGTCGTGACCTTTTTCTGTAAATATTCAGTGAAAAACTGAAATACATTTATACGAGAACCACCAGCCAGTTTTACTTCATAAAGTACTAATAAAAGTGAAAATTACAGGTGCAATGAAGCATTTATCTAATACCTGAGACAGATGTACTGCTACATGAGTTTGTTGGGTTTTTTTAGGAAAACAAAACTTTATTTGAAATTCTCCTGTTATAAATGCATTTTGTTTTAAGAAAATCTTTTAGCTTTTGATCATATTCATTGTTTTGTTTCTGTCTTTAACAAAACTATCCTAAGAAAAAAAAACAACTAAAATGCTTTGGGTCATCTGCAGCTTTCATGAGTCCGCTGAGGTACACTGTGTGTTGAAGTAAATTCAGCTGGACTTGACTGAAACTCTGTTTCAAATTGTGTTTGTTGTACTGCTTTATAAACCTTCTTTAATAAACAGTCCAGAGGGCATAATATTCAATTCGTGGGACTTTGCATGATTATAAAGCATGTGTGTTAAATCAAGGGTATTTGTAAGCTACATTAGTTTTTGTGCTTATATAGCTTCATTCACAGTGATAATAATAAAAGAAACCCTGTAACATCTGAAAGAACAGAAACTATTATTTAAGGTGGCAAATTTACTGATTGAAAAAACAGCTTTAAACAAAGCTTATGTCAAAAGTGCTGGCAGAAAAACTTACAATTGTTTCTTTTTTGCCTAAAATAATCTGCAACTTTATAGTAACAAAAGAATCACAAGTCAATTTTTGCCTTAATTCTTTTTCAGTACTTGTAAATCTCCAGTCGTCAGACGTCCAGAATGACCGCAAAAGTCCTCATGGGCTGTGATTCCCCCCAAAACATACGTGACCTAAGACACAAAAACACACACAGACAAAAGCCACAAATTAAAGCTGTGGTTAACTGCCACAGTGATTACATTAAATCATAACACACAAATTAAATTAGTTTTTTTATTCATATTGTTGCTCTCTACTTTGAAGTCGATAAACTATGTCTCTAAAGTTGGATTTTTGCTTTTACATTCATATCAAATCTGTATTCAGTAAAGAATTTAACTTTTTTTTTGTTCATTAGCCCTCTTAACTGTACCTCATCATTAGGCTATAAAAGGCTCCTAATCTCAAGGAATGTATAATTGCCAACTAACTATTCCCAATGTTCATGCATTCATTTCAGCACAGCAGGAAGAGAAACGCAGACTTTAAGGTTGCAGACTCAAAGTTAAACATCTGTGTAAGGGAGGGAAGCTCGAGCTCCAGCAGTGAGTTGTGTGTGATCCATCTGCACAGCTGTGTGATTTCAAAAACTGTGCGAGGGTCGGCTGTGTCCACTGCCATTCATGCACACAGGGAGATGGAGGCTGCATATACAAAACCAAACAAACTGGGGGAGGGAGGTGTCTGGGATGTTGATGGGAATTTTTGTTTGGTGTTTTTTATTTGTTTGTTTTGCATAGATTTACTTCAATACATTTTATTTACCAGTAAGAATTCATTATGAATGATCAAAAAATATGAACAGCACTGAAGAGACAGAAAAATCATTAAATCATAGATGTTCTGATGACACAGAACAACTTTTCTATTTAAAATTTAAGGGATTTGTTCTCATAGTGTCATATTGTAATATTTAACTCAATAATATGCTGATTTCAGTTAACATTATCCATAATTCAAAATGCCAGAACATATTCAATACCACTGTCCTGATGTATGATTTCTCAAAATGTGTAAACTTAGAGTTACCAGAACTGAATAGAATAATGTTGCTTCTTGTCGCCATCTAGTGTTTAAATATGAGTTTTACTGTTTTTGTTTTATCTGAGCTTGGCTGTTCTGCTCAGTTTGACTCTTTAAAAGGAAAATGACTCAGCATTTCGGTTACTTATATGATTAAGAAAAAAGGTAGCGCACATTTCCATACACTGTCATGGAAAACGGATGTATTTACGACAAAGTGTAAACTACACAAACAAAAAACAAAATTACTCATTTCTCTTTTTTTAAAATAAGTAATACTGTTGCTTCTTGTGACAATCTAGTGTTTAAATATGAGTTTTGCTCTTTGCTGGTATCTGGAATTGGCTGTTCTGCTCAGTTTGACCCTTTTAAAAAGAAAACGTGTCACCGTTTCTGTTACTTATACGATTTACAAAAAAAGGCAGCACACAAATCTCTACACTGTCGTGAAAAACAGATGTCTTTGCGACAAAGTGCAAACTACCAAAAATGAAATTACTCATTTCTT